AATTTCCATTTCATTTGAATTAGGATTTGAAAAATGAACATCTTTATGAGGTTCCTCTACAAATTTTCTAATTTTTTTATATAAATATAATTTTTTTTCTAAATCTATATTAATTGGAATAATATTAATGGGATCATTATGATTAAAGTTATTATTTTTTAAAAGATTAAAAGATTCTTCTTCATCAGATTTCATTGAAACAAAAAATTTTCCTTTGTTTTCAGGCAGGTTGTTAAATCTAAAATGATGATATTGCTTTATATTAGGTAAAGTTTTAAATTTTTTTTCAAATAATTCTCCAAAATTGTGCCATTTCCACCCTAAACTATTTTTATATTGTATTGATTCATTTCCTTCTGAAGAATCTTTAACAATCTCTTCAATATCATTAATCTGATTAATCTTACTTTTTCTATATAATTTTTTTATATGACCAAAAAAAGAATACATAAATTTTATATGTCCTGGAATCATAAAATTAACTGTAATTTCTTCATACCAACCCAGCATTATTATCCAAGTCCAAAACCAAAGAGATAAGTTATTTTTATTTTGTCCAGAGCAATTATCACAAGTTATATGCAATTTTTTTTTACCATTCTTTGCAAATATTTGCAGAGCTTGATAAACTAAATTCAAAGTAGTATTTGCTCCTTTAGATGTGCCTTGAGGAAGCTCATCTTCTCCTATTAAAAAATTCAATTGTTTATTTATTCCTCCTTCAGTTTTACAAACTCCAAATAAATGAACAGCATAACCTGATAAAAAATATAATGGTCCTGCTTGTTGAGGTGAATAAGGAATGGTGACATTTTGTGCCCAATCATAACAAATATGTGCAATTGATAAATCATTTTTACTTAATTCAATATTATTATTATAATGATCACATTCAAGGTTTGCCATTTTTTTATGTTCATTAAATTCAGCTTCAACATTATTATATTCATCAATATTTCTTTTTGCTAATTGCAATTTTGATTTAAATTGAACACAATTATCACACAAATCACTTGCAAGAGGCTGAAATTTTAAATTAGGCATTAGTTCATTCCATAATCTTCTAAAAGAATTGTAAGAAATAATTTTTTCCTCTTTTAAATCATTTTCAGATTCAACTTTCAAAATATTTTCTAAATAAAATTCTTTAAATTCTTTATACACAGATATAAATCTTTTATCAGTAGGAAGATAAATAAATGCTCCAGAATCATTTCTATGTCTCATTGGTGAAGGTAACCCATGTATTAAAGAATATTGATTTAGAAAATTTCTTACAATGAATTTTAAATTTTCATCAATATTGACTTTAGTTTTATATATAAGAGCTCTTCCTGTGTTTCCATGAATTTGTTCACTTATTCCTTCATTGTGTAAATGTTTTACAATATTTTCAAATTTATGATCACTTACATTGTATAACATTAAAAATATTGGTTTGCAAAGAGAATATGTTGAATTAAAACAAAATTGATAATTTATTCTTTGAGGAATTTTTTCAGAAGACTCTTTAAAATTTTTATTTTCTATTTCCATTGCCAAAAGTTGTGCTTTCAAAAATAAATCCAATTCTTTGTTAGTTAAATTAATAATTTGAAAATGTCTTTGAAAAAAATTTTTAAATCCAATTTTTTCAAAACAAGTTCTAATGTCTTTTTGTTTTTTCAAAACACGGCAAACACAACTTGTTGGATTTTCAAAAAAAAATTTTAAATTATGAATAGTTTCTTGAATATTTTCATAACAATCATATTCTTCTAAACCAAGTTCAAATAAATCATAAAAATATTGAGAAGTTTCTTGATTAGTTGTCATGTTTAATTATTGTAAAAATATTAAAATATTTAAAAAAATTATTTTATATGGACAAAAAGGGGTTAGTAATTTATTTTTAGAATAAAAATCAGGGGAATGTTTGACAAAAAAATAGGGAGAAAA